AACTGTGTCTTTCGGGCTTTTTTTTATCAATATATAACCAATAATGATGTTAATGTGAATAAATAATCATATCTCAAATCTTTTACTATGATTTACAATGAAATTCTACCTTAAGTGTATTAAAAAGATTTTTAAATTCCTGTACTTTTATTTTGTGATTATGCTTCAAAGCAGTCAATTGACCGTGAATTTTCTTTTCATATTTTGATTTCCTTGAAATCATTTTTCTCATCTGAAGGCATGCAACTTTAATATGGTGATACATTAATTACATTCCATGAAAATGTTTAAAAATATAAAATATCTCATGATATGTTTGTTCATTTTACAAATACACCTTTAATTCAGCAAACATAAAGTCTTCACAAAAAGTAGTGTGCAATCGTACCTATATTACATACGAATGTATGTAATATTTTTCTTGTTTATAAACTATTTAAATTGTATTTGTATGTTTATTTTTGCATTATGTTAACTGGTTACTAAGGTATTATCGCTATTATGAATACAGAGTTATGTAAGAGTTATGTGCCCCAGGGTGATATAAGAAATATTCCCCGGGGAATATATTCTAGGAGGGTGATATTCGATCAGAACACATTATAGGCCTATGGGAGTTTTACATTGAAGGATATATTGAGGTATAATAATATATAATTAACACATGATTGTCGGGGTGATAGAGGATATTGTCAACACGAGAACTGGTATATTACACCGAGGCGCAGCCGAGGGTAATATGCCAGTTCAAGGGTTGGCAATATCCTCTATCACCCCGACCACCATGTGTTATTTATTTTATTATACCGAAAAAAAACTCTTAGGTCAGCAGTCTTTGCCTGAAAGAAAATACAGATCATCACTTCACAATTATAGCGATTTTGATCTGTAAAATATTTAATGTTCAAACACAAAAATAGTATAATGTATATAGATAAAAACAAGATACAGACAGACAGACTAGAAAATAAATAATATTATGCTTACTGGGTACTAAGGCATTATCGCTTTATGAATGGGTTATGTAAGAGTTTTGTGCTCCACGGTGATATAAGAAATATTCCCCGGGGAATATATTCTAGGAGGGTGATATTCGATCAGAACACATTGTAGCCCTATGGGAGTTTTACATTGAAGGATATATTGAGGTATAATAATATAAATGTTTAAATGACACCATCATATAGCAATTATAATGTTACTATTCGAATACTGTGTAATATTTATTTTAATCTGTTAACAAAAACTTTTAACATTTCTTCTCCATTCGACAAACGTTATTTTGAAATTATCACAATTTGTCAATGAATAATAGGTGTTTGTGTGTAACGTATGTGATATATAATCGATATAATATGTACCCCTGTGCATCCCAGTGTCGTTGACGTTCAGCATCATCAGAAGAGATTTCAAGACACAATTCTATGAATATTCAAAAGTACCAATCTAATAGTAACAACCATTTTTGTACGTAAAGACAAATTCATCAACTGTTAAGAAAATTATTAGTTTATGTGCATCAACTGAATAAATGAATATGGTAGAAATAAGCATACCTCTTTTTCTGTCCAAAATGTTTCACATTTTCAAGTTATATTAGTGTTCACTATTAATCAAACTGCGCTTTAGTCGTGAAAATAACTCAAAACCTGATTAATACATTTTCAAAAAACGTAGAATAAATTAATTCTGTCGATAGACTTCAGCAATTTGATGGTAGAAGCAAGAATATAATTTAAATGTAGATGAATTATTATTGTACACAAACCACTTGCTCATTAGTCAACGTTTTATTCTGCAAATCATTTTCAAAAGTACATGTACAAATGATGTCTGTACCAAACTCATATTTATGATACTTTCAAATCAATACTTATCTTGAAATCCAATTGATATACATAATGAATAATGTAATTATTGTATATTTTATTGAACAGATCACCTATAACAGTGATTTTACAGGTGATTTGCTACTCAAACCTTCCTCGGGTAAGTCGAGGAAGACTTTCAAATATGAATACCAATTCTACAAGGACCAAGGCGTCCTCAATTCGTCCTTAAGGAAGCCTTTTCCGAGTTTGAGTGGAGGTTGAGTTCGAGTGACGACACTGAATATAGCTATAGGTGTAGAGTAGCGCAATGCAGATGTTAACAAGATATTTTTGTAAAACATGTATGCCCCCCCCCCCCCCCCTAAACACAGCCAATTTAATATTATAACATTATATTTTATTTTTAAATGTGTATAAAAATGCATAGTAAATTTGTTATGAAATACATGTATATCATTGCCATGGGGCAGAACCAATATGACCCATGGGTCAATGAATTGAGTAAACCCTGTAGTTGTCAATGAGACAATGTTACACACAAAATATCTTCTAAAAACAAGCTTTTCATGGTGAGGTCACTGTGACCTTTACCTTTGACCTACTGACCCCAAAATCAATAGGGGTCATCTACTAGTCATGACCAACCTCCACACCATATATGAGGACCATCAGCCAAAGCATTGTCTAGTTATTGAGCATAAATGGCATGGTCTAGGGACCGACCGACCGACATGGGCAAAGCAATATACCCCCACTTCTTCGAAAGGGGGCATAATAACTTATTTGTTTTACTTTTTTATCGTTGGTACCGGTTGCCCATTATGACCAACGTCCCCTGAAGATTGTTAGTATATTATTTTTCGGGGGATAGTGCATGATACAGAAGACGCCTCGTTCCAGAGGCGACCCTGGTTCGTGTAAAGCACCAGTACAATGCACCTCGGTTTAACTTATTTTTTTCCCTTTTAATAGTAAGGGAGATAGACTGTATCCAACAATCAACTCATTTTCAAATACATGTACATTTTTTAAACTTTTTTAACAATCTCACAAGCATCCCGCTAGAGTCCCGGTGGTCGGTCGGGTGATCCAGGAACGACCGGGGTACGTCCGTAACTCTGTCGGTAACGTCCGGGATGATCAAGAGCTCTGCCGGGGCTCTACCGGTGATTGTCGGCACTCTATCTGACCGTACCGGGGCTCTGCCGGGATCATCCGGGACTCTGCCGACATCATCCGGGGCTGTGCTAGCATGGATCTCAGCTTTTATGATCTCTTTGATCGAAGACTTAAAAGCGTTTCCAGAATATCGTGTTAGGTCATCCGTCGTCCACTTACTATCTGCATTATCCGTAGTTTCAACTGGACTCTGCATGGATGGCCCGGAGTTCATCCTGGTTGGTATAAGTATGGAAATTGGGTATCGCCGTAGTGCTACCGGGGTTATTGAGACGGCAACAATATTTTCATCCCGGATCTCTGGTGAGAACGCTACTTAAATCGGTACTTTTAATCCCTATGGAAACCTTTATAACTGGCTGATGCATTACTGTTGATCATAGAAATAAGTGCAATTAACATATGAAAAGTTGAGACATTTATCATGTTTATCGTTAACCGATTTGGACATTTATGAGCACCTAATTTGTTGCGACATTTTTCGTTAATTTTTGGACATTTATCGTTAAAGGAGTTTTTGACATTTATCGGCGATTGAGACATTTATCGTCAATTTTTGGACATTTATCGTCGTTTGGACATTTTCGACGTTTGGACATATATCGGCGCTACACCATTCCCATTTTTTTAATATGTTAGAATGGAAATATTACTATAGTATAATCTAATAATGCACTGTGTATCGATTATCATCTAATTCTAAATATTATATTTTCGCAATAAAGACACGGTATTGTCAAAATCATGAAAGAAACTTAAATAAAAACTTTAATTAACTGAAAGAAAAACTGCAATGGGGGATATTTGCACCGATCTCAACTCGGCACGTGCGGGTCAACAAGTACAACAGTAGCTACTAAGTTGAACAAGTGTATGGAATAAATGTTTGTGCTTGGCACGCAACGTCACATATGGTTTCAGATAACATATGAAGTCTACATGATTTTATATGATGTTTTATTAATTAACTTTCTAAATATCAAGCGAGAATCTGGCCTATTTGGTCGCTTTATACTATGTAGACCTCATTAATAAATTTAAGACTAGGTCAGTACGGGGTATTGAAATACGCGACCATTACGAGATTCGACCAATCAAACTTAAGAATTAGCTTGGCTTTATACAAGATGTGTTTTTTTTTAAAGTTTATAACGCCATTTTTGAAACTCTGAACTTTTTTTGCACTTTGTATTCTTCACTAAAAGTGGCGGCTCTTTGAATATGAATGTGAACTATGGTAAACGTAACCGCATTGATCACGTGCGAAGTTTTTATAATCTGAGTAGAAGAACTTAAATATGACCAATATAGAAAATTAATCAAATTCAGGTTTTAGTATAATGTTAAGAAAGTAGTATAGTGTTTCGCTGTAATATTTCGCAATTCACAGTTGAAAGAAAAAAGAAATAGGCTTTTAAAATTTCCTTTTGAACAAAAGTTATGATACGTCTTCTATTAAAACTGAAAAATGTTGCATATTTTGTCAATTAATATAGCTGTTATACACTGAAGTGTTAGTGTCATCGATTGAAAATACTAAAATTGTCTAATTATGGTCGTTGGTAGGGTTAAACCCACAATTCTTCGGAAGAGTGTCGTGTGTTGGTGAGCCATGCAGTTTAATGAGGATAATTTTAAGATAATCTTTTGATAGAAAAGGAAAATAAAAACGAATCATTGAGTGAAAAAAGCATGTTTTATATAATACAATAATGTTATTTTTTATAAGCTTGCAGTCAAAAAAAGTGTTACTATTTTTATTTATTCATCTTCATTTTTCAGTCAGAAGAAAGCACGTTTCTTGTTCTTTTCTTCTTATCTCTTTATCACAATATTGTCATCATATTGAATGTTACACCTAATCAGTTGATCTAATTAGAAGTATGTAACGTAATACATTGTAGATAATCTCTAAAAGTGTTCAATTAACCCGATTCAATGAATAATTAACATGGAAAAGCGCATAAAATATCTGAATTGGGCTGTTTAGAATTATTAAGTAGAATGTACTTCGCACGATGTATTTACAATGTTCGTTTAATTTTGCTATTATTTATTTCAGCAACCTGTTCAAAACCTGCATTGAATACCAACTCCTACACATTAACGGAAGAAAAATCGTCTTACCAGGTCAACGAAACCTACGAAATTTACTGCGTTCCTGGTTACGTCAGTTCCGGCGGAAGTGATCTGATTTGTGGTACTTCCGGTTCATGGTCAATACCTTCACCAGAATGCACTCCTTCCGGTAAATATGTTACATGCAATTAAAATCCAACAGAATTGTTTTGTTGTTACAGATTAGATACCATTCGTTCGTTTAATATTTAACCGATATCTGAAATATCAAACGTTCATAAATTATGCGCAATCAAGTCATGGACAAAAAGGAAATCTGTCGGCCGTACTTTTCAAAAAAAGCAATCGTTTTCCATGCTCCTTTTTTCAAGTTACATAAAATGATTATTATGGAAATTATATCATTCACTTATAATGGCATTAATAAATATAGATTACTACATAATAACTTGTTTATTTTAGAGGGCACTTATCCGTGGTGGATGTTGTTGGTCGCTGTACTACTGGTAATACTTTTGGTTTCATGTATTCTGCCGAGATTTTTGCAGTGTTGCTTGTAAGTTTTGTCATTCTTTTCCTGTTCTATATTTTATTGATCTTCCCCATATGATTAAAGATTTGAAGTTAAGATTGGTTAAGTATTTCTCAGAATGCATTCTTGGTAAGCGGCTATCGGCTTTGTTCTTCCATTTATCTACACAAAATGTTCATGAAAGCAATGTCAGTCTCTTATGTTAGGTTTTAAGTATGTAAGAAGACAACTTCCGTGTAGCTATTGACACCTGAAATAGTTTCATTATGATAAACTGCGTAATATTTTACAGGTATTTCATTATAATAGTAGAGGTACAGAATAGATTTGATTTATAAATGATGTTTGAAAATATTATATTGACATTTAGATCAAAGGGTAAGAAGAAACAGGGAGGTGAGTCCAGGGACTTGGAGCAAAACAACGACAACTATGACGATTATGATGACGACGATGACGATGACAGAGGGGATTCGCCCGTACCCAATTTCGGAAAACACAAGAAAATGACAAACATTGAATATATGTCCAAGCTTCACGAAGACGCAGATCGAAAGACGCTTAAACGCGCGGCTAAAAATTCAACATTTTAACAGAACGCTTAAGAACGCTTGTTTATACCAAAGAAAGTATTCATTTAGGATTGTAGAGTACTTAGGGTGCTACAGTGAGATGGCGAATATATTCTCGAGAAATCTTCGAAACCATTCCTGAAATTATTGTCTGAAAATTTCAGTTTATTCCAAATAGTGTCTTTTGTTGTTAGACAGTGCATTTGTCATCAGATCACCACAGTTCATTAATTCTATAAAATTAATTGTTAATTGACACTTAATTCAACCCAAATACATTAGAATGTTGCTGTACAATTAAGCCTGTATAATGTTTGTATTGTGTTTTGTAAATCTTGGATATTTAAAGTTCTAACAATCACTTTATCTCACTTACTTGAGTCTCATCACAGTTTTGGCTGGAACTTTAATGAAGTTCAGTTTAACCTAGAAAGTATGTTGAAAAATAGCTGAATGATCGCTGTAAAAAAGGTAGGCATCTAGTGACCGCTATCTTATTTATACGGAAGAAACAGGAGAATAACAAGAATTAGGTGCACTGTAAATCTATGTTCTTTTCTTCCTGAATGATTTCCATGGCAACATCTCGAGATATTTGTGAAAATGTAATACATGTACATATATTAACGGTATGGGAACATAATTTCATAGTTTTGAATTAGGGATATTTGATATTAAAAACAACATCATGTCAAAGGTGAAAGGTGAGGTTCTTAAGAAAGATCTTTTACTTTGTATGCCGAAGATCAAATTGAAAAAAATGAAAAATAAAAATTGAAATTCATCCTGTATCCGAGAGAAATGTAAGATTTCATTATGTTCATTAATTGTTAGTTTTAGATTCACTTACTTCTTAGTTTCGAAAAGTCAAGACAACGAGTTCATTATGACCATTTATATCGTTTACATTTGTAAACATGCACGGTATTCACGTACATTTTATTTGACGTATCTTTACTTTTCAGTAAATTGTTGCCATTGAATTGTTTAATTAATAGTAGTAACACCATCATTTATTCTTTGATGATATTTACAAATGTAATGAGAATGTCAGGAATATCAACCAGAGGGGGTCACAACATTTTGTATAGGGGTAATGCTTATTCCAGAGAGATTTTGGCATTTTACTAGTTTTCAGGGTGGCGGGTCACGAGTTAAACATTTGCTTGATTACTGTAAAAACGTAAGCTCATATTCGGACCTTGATGTTATATTTGTTATATTACATAAATAATCCTCCTTGCCGCGCATGTTATAACAGGAATAAGCGTTTCGTTAAGCAAACTTCCTTTCATCCGGGATTCAATTATAGCACGTAGGTGTATATATAGAATCTATGCTATTTTTGGTGGTGAAACTTTTTTTGTCATGTCATAGTAAGCACTTTTCTCTCGGGAGTCAACAGTAAAATATCAATCTATCGCAATGATTGTCCTGTTTCTATAAATGCTAACACATTATGCTAGATATAATGATGTTTTTGTTCTGTTATAACATTAGAACTACCCGAGTTTTTATTTCCAGGGACTGCGATATCAACATGGGAATATGCAGTGAAGAGCCTTGGCCTAGCTAGCTCTTTACTGATGGTATACACAGGATATTGTCGTAATGACGCGTTAAAGAATAAACAAGACATTGTTATCATTTATATTTCTCATGATGTATAACTTTTGTTTTTGTTGCCGACCCCATTTTGATTTCAAACAGAACATCATTAATTTTCTTTGTTATGATAACTGGTCCTTTCCAAATAAAAGGTTCAATCTTCTTACTCCTACCTTTCACTTTATATTTCTAAATATATATTATTAACCCTATCTTTTTAAATATTGTATAGTATTTCAGGTTCGACTATTGTTTTCCTCAACACTGGTTTGCCTTGGACATCTCAATACTTATATTGTAAGCGTCATCATCCTGTTATAGTCGACGTACATGTATAATTGAGACAAAACCAACATAATGGGTTTGCAACCAGCATGGATCCAGGATCTATGCTATTCGCTATCAGTTACACTACTTGTTATATAGTGTTTGTAAGCGAACAACATGGATCCTGATCAGACTGCGCAGATGCGCAGGCTGGTCTGGATCCATGCTTGTCGCAAACGCATTATGTTGGTTTTGTCGTGATGCGGCTCAATTATAAGTATATGCTAAAAAGAAATTATTTGAATTTTACTAAAGTTCATGCATATACAATGATGCAAATCACCTTTTATAAAAAAGTGATAACATAACATTAATCCAGTCATCTATAGTTTGTACTAATGTTAAATGAAATACAATGATATTCAGTTATAACTTTTATATTATTGTAAATGTCCTAATAAAAACACGTTTTTGTTATTTATGTGATTATTCCTGAACATTTGCAGAAAAAGAAACAAAAGTTACATTTCAAAATTGATGATATTTCATCTGTAATAATTAGATGTATTTTAATACTGTTTTTGGAATAAAACATCGTAGATATGCATTCATGTGGTTTGTGTCTTCTCTCGAGCTGGATGGTTCACTACGGAAGCCCATTGAGGCCGTTTTGAGTAAGAAGTTAGAACTAAGGTGTTAGATATTAGAACTTATGTCTTAGTTCTTAGAACAAGAGGTTCCGTATAGGCGGGAAAACGCCATATTGAATGCAAGATAGACATGAAGATGTATGTGAGGTAAACTTCTTATTATATTTCTTTAATATATATTTGTTTTTAAGAATTGCATAGATATAGCTATTATGTTAAAAGATTGGGTGGTCTTATCTGTATAACTTAAAAAGCGTTGTGAAAAGCAACAAATTTCAAAAGGAGGCAAAGGAGGCTTTTTAGCCAATTGTAGCTATTTTAGCCAAACCTTGCCAGAAAAAAGACCTACGAAGAGGGACACAAGCGTCAAAACAGATATCTTTTGCCCTACTTAATGTGTAATTCCCCAACTTTGGAACAGTATTTAAAATTGTGTAATTGTCAGTTTGGTTGGTTTCGTAATGTGAACAAAAATAATTTGATTATTTTTCCAATTGCAGAATCTTCTTTATTCCTTTCAGGACGACGAAAATGGTGTCTTCATGGGTATGGATGTTTTTAATTGGCTGTTATACCAGAATCTAGTGTTGTGATCATGGTTTAAGCTGTCATTCTCAGAGGGGCACATTTAACAAGATTAGAACGATTACAAATTACTTATTCATAGTTTATTTTACAAGGCTAACAATCATGTCCGACGCAAAACACGTACACCTATAAGGACTAAGTAAGGGACCCCATTATTGTAGTAATCCTGAGGAGTGTCAAGTGTTTAGGTTTCGATCAATGTTGCACAAATTAGAGACTGACTACCGGTGTCAATGTCTAGGGATTCTGCAATGAGGCTAATGCCACAATTCGATCCCGAAGGAACTAATAAACGCAAAGCCACTGATCATCTCAGCGAAGATATGTCTCAAAAGGCCCTGACATTGGCATGTAAATTGTTACGAAAAGTTGAATACATATGGATCCTGCATCCACGGAGCGATAGACGGGTACAGTCGACGCATTTTATGCCTCGAAGTATCAAACAGCAACAAATCACCTGCAACGATAGCTTCATATTTCATTGACACATTAAACGAATAAGGCACTTTACAGAAATGTTTATCAAAATTCTTAGTTCATTGTTCTGGTTTAATTTCAAGTTCAAATGTATGTTTTGAATATATGAAGGATTAAGAAACGCTTTATTTTCTTAATCATTTAACAAAACGTTTAAAAATACGTATTTTGTTAACTCTTTATTCTCTATATTTTATTTCATCTGAACCATGCTTAAGAACAAACATTGTACACTTTGCAGCCTTGGCTTGGATTTTCTTCAATATGAGGGAACTTTGTTAGAACTAGATTTTATTGGATTTTTACCATAAAATTAGATTTGTTTTACCTTTTTGTCTAATGGTTTCTCTGAGTTCAAAAGAACTTCTTTTTTCTATAAATAGTCGATGTAGACCTACATATTGTTACGAAGTTCATTTCGTCCGAACATCATGACACTTTTTATAACTCCGGAAACCACGTTAATATTTGTTGACAGTTATCATATCTATTCTGATTTATTAACATATGTATAATACTTGATGTTTACGCCAGTTTGCCCATTTGTAATCCCTTATTTATTGCTGCATAACTCATCAAACTTGTGCCATGCCTTGTGTTTAATCCATTATTAGTTGGTACTGATTAGAATTCCAGATGGAGACGTAGAATATGTTCTGTATTTAATCGAGTTAAGATGGAGACAATGTGACGTCATCAAATAGATCACATGACCCATCTGGGTACTCAGTGACGTCATTATATGCAGTCACGTTACTGTTTCAAGGGTCATGTGACCTTTTCCTATAAATACCCCAGATTTTCCCTTGAACTTGGTCAATTGTATTGTCCGCTTTACAGACGCAACCTCTATACACAATGTCTTATAGAAAATATCCATCTGGAGAGGTAGTACCCAGAATCATTTAATAAATATATTTCACTTAATATAATAACTATTATAAACGTATAAATTACAAGTATTTATAAACTTGTACAGAATCTTTATCTATGTAACCAAGGTAAACAAACCCAACTGGAGTGGTTTCCGGATATGTACCCATTTTGACTACATGTATTATTTATATTACTGTTGACTGTGTTTACATGAATGAATGATGTTGATGATGAATAAATGAGATGTTAAACTAACTACTGGCTTTCTCCTGATACAACATACCCTGACTATTGAATACCTATAGAAGTGAAGCTATAGTGATCTACCCGCTATATAGGCCTATATCCTGAGAAGTATAAATTGTTACCCGGGGACTAGCAGGCTCTCCCCGGTCCGGGAAACGTAACAATATATCATTAATCTTTACCAACAGAGCTGTAAGTATTAATTATTTATTGAGTGTGCACGGGGGTATGCTATTGACAAGTTCTTGTTGAAATTGTGATATTCTTTTGTGATAAATGAGATAAGTGTCTTGTATCATGTTTTGCAGTTCACTGTAACTTGAATAAAGTTTTATGTATTGAGAACGGAGTTATCTTTCCTTCTTTTAGCTATTTCAAACCCGACTTTTTTAAGTTCTAATGTCTAAGTTCTAATTACTAAGTTCTAATTACTAAGTTCTAATGTCTAAGTTCTAATAACTAAGTTCTAATAACTAAGTTCTGATGTCTAAGTTCTAATGTCTAAGTTCTAATGTCTAAGTTTTAA